AAAAAAAAAAGATTAAGAAGATATTTATTGATAGGAAAACTCCTGAGGGGCAGAAGGGGTCCTGATTGGGTAGTCCAGGGACCCCACTTTACAGAGGAGTTTTATAGGGTGAAAACCACGTGGCTACAATATGGGCCACAGCCATCAACACCCAATAAGGGTACAAGTATAGCCACTTAGGTAATAGTGGTCCAAATGGGCAACAAGCCATGTGATAAGTGTAGATGGGAAGAACTAAGATTCCCCTAGGAGGTGGTGGGTCCAGAGGTGTCCAGTCACCCACCAGAGCGGTTGATGTCTGGACTTCATTAAGTGCTGTGTTTGTTCTCTGCGGAAGTAGGCAGGTCTGGTCACCTTGTCTGTATTCTTTTTTTCTTTTTTTTGGCACCAGGGATTGAACTCGGGTCCTTGCGCTTGCGAGGCAGGCCACTGAACCGCTGAGCTAAATCCCCAGCCCAACCTTGTCTTTAACTTGAGGCCTGGTTTTTAGCCAATGTGTCTCCAGTGTAACTGGTGTGTTTCACCTTCATCCTCTCTCTCGAGGACCTAGCCCTACCTGACTGCCTGTAACATTTCTACCTAGCTCATCTACCTATAATACTACCATGCCCAGTTCATATAGAGGTTTTAATTTATTTTTATTTTTTTGAGACAGTTTCACTATGTAGCCTGGACAGACTTGAACTCATGGCAATCCTCCTGCCTCAGCCTTCTGAGTGCTGGGATTACAGGTGTGTGTCACCGTGCCTGGCTTCATATAGAGGTTTTGCAAGACAGTTTCTGCAATAACACTCATGTTAATCATAACTGCCAACTAGGGAATATTTAGTACATTCCAGAATATATATTTATGATATATATAATATATAATATATATCAAATATATATTAGTTTCATCCTCAAAGTAGCCAACAAGTTTCTTTCATTTTCCAGATAAAAACCAGGCTCAGCATTCAAATGACTTGTCCAGTATCACACAGCTAGTAAGCAGCAGAGCCAGGGCTTGTCCCTGTCTGTCATTTTCATCCCCTTCTTCTGCCCGTCACTCTACCTTGTATTCATTTGCTTCTCCATAGGCAGAAGCTTCTAGCCGGCAGGGCTGGGACCCGGGTCATCTCCATGTCCCTAGTCCCCATCCCCTAGCACAGGGCTATGTTTTGGTTAAATGAATTCACATGCACAGACACCCTCCCCAAGGGAGTCAAGGAAACGAGACGCACAATGAGACATGAAAACACACTGTGTGTGTAACTTGCCATGTACTGGATAAGATCTAGGTATGTAAATCCTTACTATTTGGGTTTAAATCCTGAATCTACCGTATACTAGTTGTGCCCCTCAGTTTCCTCATTTGCAAAATGGGAACAGTGATAGGATTGTGATCTATCTTCCGTGAGAAATATATGTGAAGTACTTAGCCCAGCCCTGGCACACAGCCACTCTGCGAAGAGTAGGTTTGGCCACAAACACGTGCTCTCCACCCCCTCCTCCCACCCTTCCTCTGGCCTCGCAGCTGACAGTCCCAGACCCCAGGCCAGCAGGAAAGAGGAGCTGCTTCCCTGCATGCCCTGGGCTGTACCTGAGCCAGCCCCCGTGAGTGGTGTGGCAGGTGTGCTGGTCCTCGCCAGTTCTGGGTTCCCTCAGAGAAGGCTTCCTGGAGGCGGCCTCTGGCCTAGAAGGGTACAGAACCAGGTTGAGGCAAGAGGGTGCTGCGCCCTTCCTCCAGCCTTTCCCCACAGTAGAAACTTTCCTTCTCTTCCTGCCAGAGTGAAAATTGCCCCCAGGAATGTGCTTTGTCCCACTGCTCCTCCAGCAGTGGCCAGCTGCTGTCCTGGGGTCAGGCCTGGCCCTACATCAAAGACTCAGTATCATAACACAGCACGTCTCCTCGCCTGCCACCACACCCTTCTCTCCAAACCTCCCCTCCCGCCAGCCTGTTGGCTTCCAGAGAACAGCACATGGTAGCACTTAAGCACTGGGAGGACGGGAGGATGCTTTTCCTGCACCCCACCTCCCACCAGCCACAATGAACTACTTGTTAGGAGACTATTTTAATTTCACTTAATGTGATTTCAGCTCCTGGGGCCTCTGTTGCCACCCGCTTCTTGGACCTGGACGCTCAATACAAATGTAGGGGAAGCCACCCCTCGGGAAGAATAACCTGAGTGTGGAAACTTCAGTGGTGTTGGGGGTCTGGGACAGAAAGGGGACTGTTCCATCAGGGAGATGGTGGGTGCTCTGGTCTCCACTTAGGAAGAGTTGGTTAGGGGAGAGCTTAGAGCTGTAGCTTGAACAACTCAGGAGACCAGCAGTTTGGAGCACGTATGGGCCAGACATCCTTTTCCAACACTACGAGTTCATCAGGCAGGCCCTTAGCCAAGCATGCTTTGCTTTTAGGTGGCGTGTGGGTGACTGGAGGAGGCAGACACTTCCTCTTTGGCTAGCTTCTGAGATCTGCTCCATCAGGTGCGTCTTCTAGCAAATTCTAAAAGCCATGCATGCAATGGTCACTTTCTAGGACAGTAGGGTGATGTTGTGGAGACCCCTGGTGGCCAAAGGCTGAAGAGTGAGTACTTTTCCAGAGCTCTGCCCAGTTGGTCCAGGCACAAGGAGCCACCAGTACAGACTCCTTTAGCTCAAAACTCTGCTCCCTGGAAAACCATCCTCACTAGTTGGCCTCTCACATATTAGCTCCATAATCCTGTCCCATCTTGCTGGGGGGAGGGTGTCTTACTTCTCTCATCGCTGAGACTCCTAAAGTTAAAGGAGGAAAGGTTTACTGTAGCTCAGTTTGTAGAAGTTTCAGTCCATAATTGGCTGGTTCCAAGACAGGGTGGCTTGGCAGAAGGGTTTGGCAGAGGCAGGCAGAAGGCAGCAAAGCAGTGGAGCACCAGCAGACCTCCTCTTTCTTTCATATTCCATCGAGGCTCCTCACCCTTAGGGCCGGTAGCACTCACACCCAGGGTGGGCACCCTTAATCTCAGCATCACACATCCTAGTGAATCACCACCTCCAAAAAGCCCCACCTGTGACCACATGAGGCTTTGAGAGGACATCTAGACACGAGCCATAACGGAGGGGTTGCAGGTACACCAGGGAGAATGGGGAATGGATGTATCAGCCTCAGTCATGGTGAGATCAAGGGATACATAATTTCCAAACCATCAAACTACAGGGGTAAGCATGGGGGCAGGAAGCGAGGTTGCCGGGGGTGTAGACTTGGTGCATTTGGAAAGATGACAAAGTGATGTTCCCGACAGCTCAGTTCCTGGCCTTTTTTCCTTCCCTCTGTCCTCAGGTGTACATCACACAATTGTGGAGCCCTAAGTGGGAAAGCCACAATGGGGTGTTGTTTCCACAGCTCACCAACCATGTAATGGTGCCAAGTTTAACTTGGAAAGAAAATACCCAAAACGTCACGCCATGAAATGGCTGCTAGAAAGTAGACTGTAGGTAGCACCGGGAGGGAAGGAATGGTAACCCTGCCCCCAGCCCACAAGAAGGGAAAAGGTGACGCAGCTGACTTTTTGCCAGGCCAGATATTACACAAACCTTTCCCCATCTGGGCCCCGACTTTCAGTTCCTCGATTCCTTTCATTCCATTCAACTCTAGTATGGACACAGCCTTATGCTTGCTGCTAAAGATACAGTTAACCCAAAGGACCCCAAACTGTACCTGGAGGGAGACGTAGAGGCTCAAAGAAGACGGGATTCTACAGGATGAGCCTTGCTATTCATGGAGACAAAAAAGTGACCATCTCTCTTTGGTGGCCTAACCCAGCTGCAGCCAAGTCCTGTGCAAAGTGCCCCACTACCAGGTCTCCGAACACTTGTCTCAGTGTCAAGCCACACTTCAAACACAGGATACCTATAGCCGGCTCCCCTCAACCTGTCTAAAGGCCCCAGACTGTCCCCAAGAACAGCGTTACCAAACATGGCCTGACACAGCTCTACTTCCTCCCTTTCAAAGCTGTCCCAAGCCGGGCAGGATGCATGACCGTAATTCAGTCACTCAGGAGGCTGAGGAAGGATTGTGAGTTAAGGTCAGGCTGGTTTACACATCAATGCCTCGTCTCAAAAACAAGCAAACTCCATAAGGCACGGAGAGGGAGTTGCAGGCCTGCTTCTCTCCTGAAGTGGCATCTCCATTTAACGGCTTTATGACCTTGGGCAATTCTGTGGCCTTCCCTCTGGAAATGGAATTATTGCCAACGAGACAACACAGTGTTCAGCAGTGTCTGACTGGTGATAAGCGCTCATTAAGTAGTACTCTAGCACCATGATTTACTTTCTAGTCAAATCTTTCATGGCTGAGCAAAGGAAAAGAAGACATTATTGGGATTCCACTCAAGAATGTGTCTTTATTGAAGAATTTGTAAGAAAAAAGGATGAACCCTCTGTAAAAAGAGGAGATATTGCCTCCAAACAGCAGGGAGGAATGAGACCTGGGTGGCTTCCCAGAAACTGGTGTTTCCGACATGACTAGTTCCCATATCCTGCCAACAGAGTATCACACTAAAGCTAGTAATTCCTACCCACCCTCTCCCAGCCCTTCAACCCCAAGCCCAGATTCCCAGAGGCCTTCTGCCAAGAGCTTTATGAAGGCTCATGAGTGAATGTGCCAGACTTGTCACCTTTTTTTTTTTAAGCACAGGGGGTTGAAACTAGAGCCTCCACACTGAGTTATATCTACAACCCTTCTTATTTTGAGGCAGGGTCTCACTAAATTGCTAAACTGCCCAGACTTGTGATCCTCCTGCCTCAGCCTCCCACAGTGCTGGGATTACAGGCACGGACCACCATGCCCAGCTCAGGCTTGTCTTTCTTTTGGTACCAGGGATCAAACTCAGGATCTTACACTTGCAAGGCAGGTGTGGTGCCACTGAGAAAAACCCCCAGCCCACGGGCTTGTCGCTTAATGGGGTCAAAGTAGTTATGCTTTGGAAAATTCACACAGGAATGTAAAATGCTTTGAGTTCTTCCTAGTCCAACCAAGGATGATCACATCCAGCCCATTTTAAGGGAAAGGGATCAAAGAATTCCCCTTCTGAATGTGCATACTTGTAGGGAAAATAGACTGTATCAGTCTGCTCTTTATTAGCATGGAAAATGGAAACAAGGTTAGAATATATACATCCATGTTAGAGTCACTGAGTTCGAGAGGCAGAGGGCACTGAGCCTTTCCAACTCCAACAAGTGCTCTTGCTGGCTACTCTCAAGTCCTGGGATGGTCATTCCTCTCCAGCTGGGAGATTGTCTTCGATCCTCCTGATGAACCTCATCCGGATTTCTGTTACACCGTCTCCTTTCAAGGTGTCCTGGACAAACTTGGCCTCCACTGCCATCTGGACCTGGGGAACAGTGGAAAATGAGGGGCAGATGTCTAGCCACAGACTCTGGGGAACCACTAGAGATGGGGCTGTAACTAACACACACAGCAGTCAGAAAGAAGGGTTGTTTCTCACAAGGACAGGACTGCCAGCTCCAAGGTTCCACTGCAGAAGACAGGAGCCCAACCCACAAGGAGAAACTCAAGAATGAGACTGCCACCAAGGAAGCCGGTCTAGGAATGGACGTCCCTAGGCTGTGGGAGCTGACAGCACCAACTCCCAGCCTCCAGCTTAGGAGGGACGATCAGCTCCATGAAGAGATGTCTAATTTCGATCTCATCTCAGTGAAATGGCCATCTCGGGCAACAAAGGGCAGGGATGAGCTGAAGCCCTCTTTTTCTCCCTCTCATTCAAACATTTATTAATCCCTTTCAGAAGGTAAAGACCTGCACTCACCATCTCCAAGGCTCCCCGCAATACCCCACACAAGAGATTGGAATAAATAAGGGATGAGTGGTTATCAGGAAGTTCCACAAAGTCCACCAAGGGGTTATTTTCCAAAATGAGGGAGAATTCGTCACCAGCCGGGCTCCAGTTAGTGATGCTTGGAGTGATGCCCAAGTACATCTTGAATGCCACCTGTCAAGGGACACACAGTTGCACTACGGAGAAGGACAGCAAGAGCTGTACAAGGGGCTGAGGGGACACAGGCTCAGGAACAAAACTGTGGCCTCTGAAAGACGATGAAGTTTTAAATATTCAGGCAAAAAAGAGGCAGCATCTGTGCATGACTCCACATTCTCCTCCTTTAAGGCCTCATCAATTGAACACCAACTCTCTCACTGCCTGTGCCTCTCAGTGGAGTGGAGCACTGATCTTCCAACAGCAGCAGCTGCCTGAGCCAGCACCTGCGCAGAAAGGCCCAAACCTCCCTAGCCCCATCGGTGCTACCTGAACCCACCTTCCAGAAAGTGAACATAGGTCACTTAGACAGAATTACTCTCAAGACCCCCTTTCCCCAGCCACCTCTTTATTCTAAACCCTCTCAAAGCTGGCTCCACTGTCAACTCTCTTCAGGATGTGGGCAGAGCCAGCATGCTTACAACTAAAAGAACCATCCTTGAGGTACCTGACATCACAGAACTATAGGTATTGCTAATTAATACTCTAATAATGTAATGCTAATATTAACAATAAACATTTACGATATGCACACTATGCTAAGTGCATTCATTTTACCTGAATGCTTATTTCCATAATTCATTTATTCCCTCCAAAAATCATGTGAGGTAGCTCTTATTTTTTCCATTCTAAAGGTGAGGTTTCTAGTAATTAAAATGGTTAAAAGCTGCCAGGCATGGTGGTACCTATAATCCCAGTATTCTGAGAGGCTAAGACAGGAGGGTCTCAAGTCCAAGCAACTCAGGGAGATCCTATCTCCAAATAAAAAATTAAAAAGGTCTAGGAATGCAGTTGAGTCTTAGGCCCTGGGTTCAATCTCTAGCATTACATACACATACACACACACAAACACACACATAAAATTATAAGTGATTTAGTTAAGAATCCAGTGTAGTAAATACCAAAATCAAAATTTGAAGTCAGGTATATTTATAGTCTGTATCTTTCTTTTGTTGTTGTTTTGCAGTGTAAGGACAGGGTCTTGCATGTGCTAGGCAAGTATTCTGAGTTTCACTTCCATCTGTGTATATTTTCATTTTGTGGTACGAGGAATCAAAGCCAGGGGTACTCAACCACTGAGCTACATTCCTAGCCCTTTTTATATTTTTTTATTTAAGAGAAGGTTTTCTTAAATTGCCCAGGCAGGACTCAAACCTGCAATCCTCTTGCTTCAGTCTTTCTCAGTGCTGGGACGACAGGCATACACCACTGTACCCAGGTCCCTCTGTATTCTTGTTTTGTTTTATATTGAATTTTTGGTATTTTTGAGCAAGCTATGTAGCCTACACTAGCCTCAAACTCATGAAAATTCTCCTGCCTCAGCCTCCTGAGGCATGTGTCACCACACCCAGCCTCCACCCATACTGCAATCCTCATGTTACTCTGCTAAACCTTCATAGTGGAGGAGATCCATCTTTAATGTCAGTGGGGCTTTAATCCATAGGATGATCCCAGTCACTCTTCCCATTTTCATGATCTGCTACTCACAAACCAATGGAAAAGCTTGTTGGGCCCAAATACGTGCCTAATCAGTCTTCTGAGAGATTAGGTGTCTCTCTGAAGCTAAGGGAGACACCGAAATAGTACCAATGCCTCCCAGGGGCAATCCTTCAGCATGGCTGTGTGGCCTAGGATAATGACCTTGGCGATGACATCTGCAGTTTCCCGAAAGTCATGGCATCTCCCAACATTTGACCGTGCCAAGAAATCTTCAATCAGTCGGACTCCTATGTTATAGCCCCTGGGAAGGAAGAAAGCAGACCATTATGAGCTCTAAATGTCGTATGTTTGAACATAAGGCTATTATTAGTAGGGAGAAAATGGGAACCTCAAGACATCCCAATAAATGAGCTCCGTGAGAACGCTAATCCCACAGGAAGACACTGTTCAGGGCTGTAAAGTACAATGAAGACTCAGTGTGCTGGGGAGCCCCAGTCCTCTCTTCACTCCTACAAAAGTGCCACTCACATTTTGTCCAGCTGTTTATTCACATCTTCATCATTTTCATAGTCTTTGCATAGCTGGGTGACAAGAGCTCCATAGGTCAGGGTGAAGAGTTCAGAGCTCTAAAAGAGATTCAAAAGGTAATCAGGACCAAGCAACACAAAAGAGAAAATGTGATGAATCCGGACTGGCCTTGATGCAACTTTCAAATTCAAAGAAAGGTCACCTGTCAGGAGGGGAAAAAAACATCATTTCCTATGGAGTGGCCAGGGCACGTGCCTCCTCTAGGTCAAGTGGCCAAGGCTGCAGGCAGACTCACTGCAAAACAACAACAACAAAAACAAGCTGGAAAAAGCACCTCATGCCCTGGGGCAGTCACTCCTCTAACATACCAAAGTGGGCTTCTGACAACCCCAAGACTCTACTAGAGCAGTTAGGTCACCAGAATCTGGAGTGGGTGCTCACTCAAGATTCTCCAAGAGGCAGACCTGAACATTCGGTCACCAACCAGCCTCTTTATGTTGGCAGACGTGACACCTCAGAATGCCTTAACCTACAGTTAAGCTGCACTCCATGGCTCTACCCAGAAGCAGCAGAGAACTTAGGGGCTAGTCCACAGAGGGGAAGGAAGCCCTAGACTAAGTCTACTGTCTTGAAGACAACTCCTCTCCAAACTCATCAGCACAGGAAAAATACTGTTCCTCTTGACGGGTAAAATGTTTTCAGTTAAAAGGAGCAAGTCTAAAAGGAATACAATTTTCTTTAAAAAGGAGTGCAAGCTAGAGATTTAGCTCAGCGGCACCACACCTGCCTTGCAAGTGCAAAATCCTGAGTTCAGTCCCCAGTACCAAAACATAAAAATAAAAATAAATAAAATCAGAATGCAGACTTTCCTTTCAAAAAAAAAAAAAAAAGGAATAGAATATTTTGCATACCTAAAACACAATACTGACCTGGACTGGTTTCTATTACAGCCTCAGTCAAAAATCACAGAAACTCTTAGATACAGAATCCTATTACCCACCTACCAAGAAAGACAGATTCGTGAAAGGGAAAGGAATGGCAAATACCAAGAATACAGAATGAAAGCATCAGGCAGGTAAAAGGATCAGATTTAACATGAGAAACACATTAACAGCACAGCTAGACCAAAGGGAGAGCTGGGGATGTAGCTCAGTGGCAGAACACCTGCCTAGTACGCAAGTTACCTCTGCCCTGGGTTAGATCCCTAGTACTATAAAAAATAAAATAAAATAAAATAATTTCTTTAAAAATCCCTACAGGGAGGGCAGGGACAAGGGGAAAAAATGAGAACCAAGACCTGTCATGTAAAGGTACAAGATCTCGATGAATGTAACTGTACTGTATACCTAAAATGTACCAATAAACTCAATAAAAACAAAAATCCCTAGACCCTTGATAGTGAACCTTTTAGAGCTTTTCATTATACAAACAACATCTGCAGCACGCCTGCCCTAGGTTCACTACCACTGAGCTAGGCCAATGTGTTCCCTCAGAAATCGAAAATCAAGATTGGCACCCAACCCTGCCCTTCTGAAGGAAGGCTGCTCAGACTTGGAGCAAAGCACATTTCTCTTTAAGTCTTTTGGGGAAGAAAGTCCAGGAAATGTTAAGATCCAGGTTCTCAACGACCCAATGCTTCTCTCTGCAGTGCCATGGCTCGGTGGTGGGGTCACTGTAAGAATAATAATTTGAGCGCTTTTTCCTCATACACTGCACTCTACCTTTCATCACCTCATTTTTCCATCCCATACTAATCCAGTAAAGCAGAATAGGCAGGTACCATTCTTACTTTTTAAAGAACACCGAGATCAGTATAATTAAATAATTTGCCCATGGTCTAACAGTTAATTATTAAGAAGAATAACTTGGGAGGACAAAAGGCAAAGATTTCCCAGACAATGGTCATATTTATCCACGATTCCCCACAACTGAAGTATTAATATGCCCCCCTCACAAATAAACAGGGGGAAAAAACAGCTGCACTAGAGTCAAAGAAAATCAATTTCAGGATCAGGAGGCTCTTTGAACTTAACTAAAACAGTCAGATAAGGGTGTCTCCAAGAGACCATTTACCAAATGTGGCAATTAATGGGAGGCTATTAAGGAGAGGAATGATTTTTTTAGTAAAGTCAAGGGCTTGGCTCTAGAATGGCTCAGGCATGAATGGATGGAGACAATCCAGCAGTTACCAGTCAGGAAAGTTGGCACCACGGCATTAAATCAGGAGTGCTTTCCTTCCATTATTAATAAGCTCTGGGGTGAAACTCCAAGAGCCTCAGCAACCATGATGTTAAGGAACATGCAAATCATAACATTATTATTAAGCACCTTACACAAGTAACTGTCCTCAATTTACTAATAAAAAAAAAAAAAT